GAGAGAGAGAGAGAGAGAGAGAGAGAGAGAGAGAGAGAGAGAAAGAGAACCGGTGCCATGGAGCTCTAGTCAAGGGGAACAATCACTAGAGCCTGGGTCTCTTTACAAATTCACATCAAATATTGTTAAAGACACAATATAATAAACCACCTAAGAGATCTCACCCCTTTCAGAGGTTCAGTCACTCGTGTCAATTGCTCGTGCGCTTCCTTTGTTGATTCAGAAGGGCACCCCTGAAATACCCGCTGTATACTAGGTGCCCGGCACCATTTGGGGCAGCAAGGATAAATAAGGCACGTAAGAGCCGGGCACGGGCTTCACAGCTTATGGCCCTGCGCTCTGGGCATGTGAGGCCGGAGGATCTCAAGTTTGAGCTCAACTTTGACAATTTGTGACTTAGAGAGATCCCCATCTCAAGACAAAAACTAAAAAGACTGTGATGGATAAACTTTAACACTAAGACCCTTGTTTCCATCCTCAGTACAAAACAAAAAAGGACTCCCAAGGCACAGATACTACCCTCCACAAATATTTTAAATCTGGGGGGGGGGGGCTGTCCAATAAAAAGAACAGTTATGATCACAAAAGAATACAGTAAATGCTTAAATGTCTTAAAGTTTCAGTGACAGGCACATTGCCATTAGCCTCCCTCAGGATACTCCACTGTGCTTCCTGCACGCTTATTCCATCCTTCTTGACCCTCTCTGAAGCAGCTGGAGAAGCCCTTGTGCGCCAGTGTCTTCAGCCATGCTCACGCGGTTGCCCTGACTCCATTCAAATGGCGTATTTTCATGGTCCTTTTCTTCTTGGGGAAGAGTGAGAAGTCTTTCTGTGGCAGGCCGGGTGCATACAGTGGATAGAGACACTAATGTTGTTCTGGGCCTGCCTTTCTGTTGGATGGCACTAGACAGGAGCACCCTCTTTGCTTTTGATCACACCTTTTAAAGGGGCTCACAAGAGACAACTTGGACACCTGCTTTAGAAAATGGCAAGAAAAAAAAATAATTAAAAAAAAAAAAAAGAAAATGGAAAGAGCTGGGTATGGTAGCATACATCTGTAATCCCAGCACTCGGGAGGCTGAGGCTGGATTACTGAATGTTCCAGCCCAGCCCAGGCTATACAGTGAGTTCAAGGCCAGCCTTAACTACATATCAAAATCCTTTCTCAGGGGACAGATAGCTCAGCGCAGACTCAGAGACTGGGTTTGATCCCCCGCATGCTGTGCCAGCCCTGCCCCTGGGGCGTACTGAGACAGCGATTGAGACTGAGTGTGGAGGCACATGCCTGTAATCCCAGCGCTTGGGAGGCTGAAAACAGGAGAATCACTATGAGTCTGATCTGTGTAGTGAGACCCTGTACTAAATACATTTAAAACAAAACAACAACAACAAAAACCTCAAACAGAAAATGACAAGAATAATAGACTAGGTGTGTTCAAATTGAAGAGTATGTTCAGAGGGATTAGTTCCAATACGTCTTTTACTGTAATAAAACTTTTTAAATAATTAAACCTCCACAGTGTATTTTGATCACTGCTGTATAGGGTGAGCCAAGTGTGTAGTTTCCTATTTTCTAGTTGTTACCATTTCAAAGAAGTAGTAATAGGCAACCCATTCCAAACTCCTCCTGTCTCTCAGGACCTACTCCTATCCATCATTCCCCATTTTGATTCCCCATGCCTTTTCTCTAATAAATTTTCCTATTTCTAAAAATAATTTTTCCTACTTCTAAATAATAATAATAGTAACAATGATGAAATTAATTTGAATAATTTATTTAGCCCAGCATTTCAAAACGATCACCTCAATATGTAATTGGATTTTTTTTTCATTTTTTGTTTTGATTTTATGGTACCAGGGATCCCACTCTGTAATGGCATTCTTTTTTTTTTTTTTTTATGCCGCTGACCTATCTCTCTAGCCCAAAAGCAGTGGATTTTTTTTTTAGTGGAACCAGGGATTGAACTCAGACCCTTGTGCTTGCCAAGGAAGCACTTATACTACTGAGCCATCTCCCCGGCCCCTGTAATGGCATTCTTACACTGAGATTTTTTTTTCATTCTTTTGGGGTAGTATTTATTGGTGTACATTTTTCATTTACAATTAAGATGAGAGGGGCCAGGGAGATGGCTCAATAGAATAAGTGCTTGCCTGGCAAGCACATGGGCCTGAGTTTAATCCTCAGTTCTACACACACACACAAAAAAAAGATGAGTCACATTTCGAGTGCTCAACTGCTCCAAAGGGCCACCAGAGAAAGTGCCGTCCAAGGCTGGCAATGGCCTGGGGGAAAAGACAACGATGATTTCCCAAACCAAAATGTACTCAGTGCAGTTGCACAGATGCGTTGAAGATCACTGGAATTGGGACTTGGTTCTCCCAAAACTTACAATTTCCAAGTGCATTCTGCATTAATGATAAAAAAGTTTTACCCACTGGGGGCTGGTGAGATGGCTCAGTGGTCTAAAGCACCTATTTAGAACAAGCTTAGCAAAGCACAGGGACCGCGGTTCAATCCCCCAGCACCACATGCCAGCCAGCCCCGCCCCCTGGTGGGCTGAGCTGGCCACACACACACATAAACAAAACTGTTAAAAAAAAAAAGTTTTATCCACTTCAAACAGTGGAACCATGGTTGCTCTCACTCAGCCAAACAATATAGCCAAAACAAAATTCATCCTTTTACCTCAATATCTCCTTCCCTCTTGTTTTTTCTTTCTTTTTTCCCCATAATTTTATTGTGAAATAAATAGCAATGAGATAGTTTCAAATTGGTAGGACAGTCCCAATAATTAACACATTGCATACTGCCTTCCTAGTGGTTATTTGTTGTACAAGATGCAGACATTGTATCCTATTTACAAACACTATTAGAACAAATCCCTCTGTTCATTGAATTAAGATAATGTAGCTATATATCTATCCTAACCATTTTGAATACAGATACAAAATGGTTATTCATCTGTATCCTCTTTTTTTGTTTAGTTCCATCATTTAAATATTATAGGTGAGTGAACTCAGCAAAATATTTCAAAATAGTCCAGTAGTCCATAATAGTATTGGGTCTTCCACTTGACTGGCAATGTTAGAAGTGGTAGACCTGAGTCCCCTACAGCTCAACATAACAGCATGGCTTTACTTCTTATACTTCGTTTTTATACTTTTTTGCTGGATGATTAAGACCAAGATAAAACAAGACCTATGTAATAAGAATTGTGGCTTTTGGATCTGATAAGATCAGTTAAATCCCCTCAGGATTTATCCTGAGACCCTGTACCTCAGGTTGTAGATCCTTTGTCAGTGTCAGCCACGTGGATGAGTCACTTTTTTTTTGTTGTTTCTTAATTTTATTATTTTTTTTAGACAGGGGCTCTCTACCTAGTCCAGTCTGCCCTTGAACTGTGTACTACACGCTGACCTCAAACTCCCAAGGATCCACCTGTCTCAGCCTTCTAAGTAGCATCACCACACCTGGCTGCCCTTCCATTTTGCAACTCAATTGATAGCTTATCTACTTGCATTCTCAAGTTAGCCTATTTCATCTGGTAAACGCGCACTTTACCTAGGAGACCAATTTCCAAATGAAGATGAAACTCGCACCATCTTCATCACCCTATCTAACTGAATTTGTTCAGGCCATCTGCATCTCTCCTGGGTCACACTACAAAAGCCCTTCCTGTTTCAATAGTGATCCCCATTCTCTGGGACCCCCACATGATTCCCCACCTCCCACAGAACAAAGACTTCAGCTCACTGCCTAGAATTTCCCCTGGGACCCGGGTCTTCTTTGCTTACCTAACAAGGTGCAATTGTTTGCCCTCCCCAGACTCTGAATGCAGTGTTAATTTCCTTCTTTGAGCTTAGTATTGTTACAGAATAGTCTATCCCCAGGCTGGGAGATAGTTCGGCTAAGCGCCTTCCTGGCAAGTGCAAGGATTGGGTTCAATCCCCAGCACAGCATGCTGTGCGGGTGTGGTGGCACACGTCTGTAATCCCAGCGCTGGGGAGGCTGAGACAGGAGAATCACTAGTCTGAGCTGCATAGCGAGACCCTGTACCAAAGAATTGAGGTTTTCTCTAAATAATAAAAATACAAACGGTCCTTCAATCTACACCTAGCTTCCCGCTGTCTAGCTCATGCCTTCTCCAGACAGTAACTCATTGAACGATTGCTAGCGTCAGGGACCGGGAGAGATGCGTCGGGGGCACTTAGAAAACACAGGCCACAGGACGCGATCAGTGCGATCCCCACGCTCCTCACCGTACATTTCCTCAACCGACACCTTCAAGGACCTGAAGATCTCTAACAATTAAGAGAAAGTGAGGGGGATTCCCCCGGAAGTCCAGGCTGCCAGACGCAGCGTGGGCAGCCACCCGGAGCTCCACAGCGGAGCCCGACCTGGCCGCACGTGGCCAGCGGGAGGCGGGGCATGCGCGTCGCTCCGCCCCCCGCCGCTGCGCCTGCGCGCTGCCGCCTGCTCAAGGACCCGTATTTAAAGAGACAGGCGCTCCAACTGCCGCGGCGGCTCGCGGCCTGTGCGCTCCTGGTGCGGAGGCCTGCGCTGAGCGCCGGAGCCTGGGAGGTAAGTGAGGCCCGGCGCGGCGTGGGGAAGGAAGCGGCCGGGCAGGTGCCACGGCGAGGTTCCGCAGCGGCCCCCGGCTCCTCCCCGCCCTCCCGCAGAGCCCCGGGGCACACCCTCCGTGACGTGGCGGCCCCGCGGGCTCGGCGGGGCCCCCAATCACGCCGGGAAGCGGGTGCGCTGCGGCGGGCTTGGCGAGCGGTGGCGTGCCGCCTGCGCCTGTCCTGTGTCGCGGTCCCGGACGTCGGGCCTCTCGGAGCGCAGCTCGGCGCCGGGGACCGATGGGTCGCCGCGCCCCGCCGCGTCGTGCTGCCGCGTGGCCCGGCGCCCGCCGCCCGTCCTGGCGTCTGCTGCTGCTTTCCTCGTTCTGGATGGTGCGGGGCGTGGACGGGGCTGCTCTCTAGGGCGACCTTCTGAGTCTGAGCCCGGCGACAGAGCCCCGCCGATCCCGAGCGCCGCCTGCCGCCCTTGCCCCGCGGTGCTTGTTGAGCTCGGGCTTATGTTGCTCTTTGTGCATCTCACGAAAGTTTCCGATCTTCCTTACCCCCAAACGTACGTTTCCAAACATGCCTTTTCAGGGAGTTCAGAGCCCCATCTCCAGCAGCCAGAGCATGGACTTACTCTGATTTTCCCAGCCGCCCCGAGAGGTAGGTCTCATGTCCTCCCTCGCGGCAGTCACTGAGCCTAGGGGAAGTGGAGAGCGCCTCTGAGGTGGTAACCGTAGCTGTGTGCCCAGCCTCGCCCTCCCACCTCGGATTGCCAAGGCCTGCTTTGCCCTGCATCATGGGGCACTGCGGTAAGGAATGCCAGCTTTTTATTGTGTGGCCATAGCCATTTCACGTCACAGCAGCACGCAGACTGAAAATAACCTCCAGTATAATGTTACAGCTATAAAGATAACTTTTAAAATATGAACCTAAGGTGTGTATGTAATTATTGCTTCCATTTGAAATGACTTCTCAATTCCTTCGGTGTAGTTAGGTCAGCATTCCCTACTGAATTACACCGGTTAATGGTACAGAGGAGGAGCCTCTGCTTTTTAAAACTTAACTACTTCACCGATGTTAGGAAGATCTAATGGTTATAGAGCCCCTGTGTGTGTTCGCAGCCCCTGTTTTCAAGAGCTTTACTTTTAGCGCAAGGATCTCCTCAGTCAGATGCTATTGTTAGCCATATTAAACAGATGAGAAAACTGAGGAACAAAAAAGTTTGACTTACCAAGGTCACCCAGCTAATAAGTGGCCAAGCTAGCATTTGAATCTTCAGCAGTCTGGTTCTAGGCGCCTCAGAGGAAAGCTGTTTAAATCACAGCTCTGTTTTCTGAGGACACTGTACCTCTTATGCAAACTTCAGAAACATAATTTCGCTTCATGATTAAGGATCTCTTTATACTTAAAGGTCGTCATCCATCATGAGTATCCCATATCGTTGATAGCCTGGAAAAAACTTTTTTGTTGCTTGGATTATCTTCATTGTAAATTGCAAGATGTATTTATGTACATTAGATAATTGAACACCCTTTCTGAAACTGGATTTTCCTGTATGGAAACTAACCTAGGCAATGAATCTTTAATGCTTCAGAAGTATTTGATTAGTCAGCATGGACTGGGTGAGATTCTGGCTTCTTGAGAGTCTCCTCTTCCTTTTGTTGTTATTCTCCTCACGTAGCTATATGACTTCGGCTTTCAAGATCCTTTTCTTACGAAACCTCCAAGCACTTGGACGGAAAGAGCTGTACCCATTCCGAGAACGCTGGCCTGGCATAAGACAATTGGGCAAGTGGTCAGAACCAGATCTAGTTCGTGGGCACTGCCTCCTCCAGAGAAGAAAGCCTGTTCTGCTATTCCAGGGAGGCCATCTAAGACCACGGGTCACTTGCTTTGCTTTCCTGCCAGGGTCGCATGTGGGACTCTGCAGTGGCCCCTGTGAGATGGCTGAGCAACGGTTCTGTGTGGACTATGCCAAGCGTGGTACAGCTGGCTGCAAAAAATGCAAAGAAAAGATTGTGAAGGGAGTATGCCGAATTGGCAAAGTGGTTCCCAACCCCTTCTCAGAGTCTGGAGGTGAGATGAAAGAGTGGTACCATATTAAGTGTATGTTTGAGAAACTGGAGCGAGCTCGGGCCACCACAAAAAAAATTGAAGACCTCACAGAGCTGGAAGGCTGGGAAGAACTGGAAGATGGCGAGAAGGAACAGATAACCCAACATATTGCAGGTGGGGTGGAGAATACAGCTTTCTCATCTTGTCAGTGCTGATAGGAATAGGAATACAGAAACTAGAGTCTGGTTTTTTCTTTCTTTTCTTAAGCTTCTTCCATGGAAATAATTTCAAATTCATAAGAGTTATAAGATTAAAAGTAGTGTAAAGAACTTTCATTTTCTTGTTTTGTTGGTTTTTTTTAAATTTTTTTTATTTATTTGTGTGTGTGTGTGTGTGTGTGTGGCCAGCTCAGCCCACCAGGGGGCGGGGCCAGCTGGCATGTGGTGCTGGGGGATTGAACCGCGGTCTCTGTGCTTTGCTAAACTTGTTCTAAGTAGGTGCTTTAGACCACTGAGCCATCTCACCAGCCCCTCATTTTCTTTACCCAGATTATCGATATACTTTTACTTCATCGTTTGTGTTCATGTGCCGTCTTTCTTTATGCACACATGCATGTGCGCACAAACAGAATTCTTGTAGTTGACATGTAAGAGTAGGTTGCATACATTATGGTCCTTTACCTCTAACTAATCCCGTGTGTCTTTGGTTTTTTTGTCAGTACTCAGGATTGAACCCAGGACCTTCACTTTATTATATTTATTTGTTTTTAATTTTGAGACAGGGTCTTACGAATTCTCTGAATTACCAGGCTGAGCAGTCTATTTGCCTGAGTGTCCCAAAATGCTCAGTTTATAGGCGTGTGTCACTGTGCCTGACTCAGTGTATATATTTTGAGATATACATTAATGTCATCTTACCAGGTGTGCTGGCACACGCCTATAATCTCAGCACTCGAAAGCTGAGGCAGGAGGATCACTGAGAGTTGGAGGCCAGCCTGCTCTACATAGTGAGATCTTGCCTCAAGAAAAAAAGTTTGTCTTTTGGCTTTTTGAGAAAAGGTCTTGCTGTATAGTTCAGGCCAACCTTGAACTGTATGTACCTCAGGACGGCATCAGACTCTCAGTGATCCTCTGCCTTAAACTCCCAAGTACTGGGATTACAAGTGTGAGTCGGCATGCTTAGCTAAAAAATTGTTCTAAAGTACTTTTGTACTCCAGCCTAAGTAGATACTTTCAGTCTTTTTTTCTTTTCTCTTTTGAGACGGCCTCACTGCATAGCCTAGGCTGGCTTCAACTCACACAGATCCTCCTGCCTCTGCCTATCAAGTACTGAGATTATAGGCGTGCACCACTATACCTGGTGATACTTTTATAGTCTTATCTGTGTGTGCCCTAATCTATCCTTTGAATCAGCCTTTTTTCTTTTCTTTTTTTTTTTTTTTGCTTTTAAGAATATGAAAATTAAAGAAAAAGAGCAGATACCAGCAACTAAATAAATATCTCTTCTCAGTAAAAAAAAAAAAAGAATATGAAAATTTATTGAACAAAAGGAATGAGAAATATGAATAACTTCTGAGAAACAGGAGAAGTTCCTATTGGCTTGGCCAAGGTCAGCCATTTTTATGAGGAATCTAGATTCCTATTATTAAAAAAAACGGTATTAGAAACAAAATCTTGAGCTGGGCGTAATAGCATATGCCTATAATCCCAGCACTCTAGGAGACTGAAGCAGGAGGATTGCCTGTAATCCCAGCACTCCAGCAGGCTGGGGCAGGAGGATCATAGGTTAGAGACCAGCTTGGGCTACGAAGTGAGCTCAAGGCCAGCCTGAACTGTGTAGCAAGACCCTGTCTCAGAAAGGCAAAAAAGAAAGAAACAAAAACCTGAGCCAGGTATGGTATTCCACACCTGCGATCCCAGCACTTGGAAGGTTGAGACAGCATGTTCACAAATTCCACCAATTCCAGGCTACCAATGAACTTAATCTGAATGCTGCAGGTCCTCTTTGACCTTAAGTGTTTATAAAATAATACTCATATCCTCAAGTTTAGTACATGCTATGGTTCAGGTTGTAACAGTAGCTCTAAATTGGGTATCTCTCCTTGTTCCATGAGGGGAAAGATTTCCAGGAGAGAAAGCTGTCTCACTCATGCTTTATTCTCTAGCTCCCCATCCACCCTGCCTGCTTTTGCCATTGGCCTCAGGCTTTTCTACTTCTTGACCCATCTCTCACTGGGGGGAGAGAACTATATACAGGTAAATGTCACATGACTGAAAGGTCAACAGGTAGAATTTTCCAGCCTATGCCAAACAGAAATGCTCTGTTATCTGTCTTTGTCTTTTCAGTTCATTTAAAAATTAGAATTTTATGGAGCTAGTTTTTCCATGTTTTATCTATCACAGTATGATTAATGATTTCTTTCAAATCCTGTCACTTCTGGAGATCATTGTGATGATAGATGTGGAGATAGATGTGGAGATAGATGTGGAGAGCAGTCATGAGAAATCTAAGTTACAGGGGTAAATGGTAGCTGGGTCTTTTCTCCAGCACGTCTTTCCCTCTGCCCCAAGACCCTACCTACTGCCTTCACTCACAGAGTATAGCCCTGACCAGCCAGCCGTGGACAGTGGGTAGTGACTGGCCAAGCTCTGAGAGCACTCAATAGAATCTTGGGAAGCTTCCTCAGAGATCTTTCACTGAAGGATTATTTTCTCTTTTCTGGGGACCCTACAGATCTATCTTCTAAGGCAGCAGGCACACCAAAGAAAAAAACTGTTGTCCAGGCTAAGTTGACAACCACTGGCCAGGTGACATCCCCCATGAAAGGCTCTTCATTTGTCACCAGTACCAATCCCCGAAAATTTTCTGGCTTTTCAGGTAAGAGAAGTTGGGGTTACTTTTATATTTATGGGCCGCCTTTCATTTGGTATTTTATGTGAGGCTCTCACTAAACGAAAATTCTATGCCATCTAGTCTCAATAACTTGTATCTGGGAAGACAGAAATTATCATTGCTCCCTTCATTTCTGTTGTAATAGGAAGATGTTTGTTTTGTGAAGACTTTTAGTGAGACCAGGCAGATTT